TCAGCCTATGCACCGTAGTTAGAAGACAAAAAAACACAGCTGTCCCCAGTTAAAAGACCAGCTGCATTCCCACGACCTAGATAATAACTCTTCGAAGACAGGACAAAGAAGTAGCTGAGGATAAAAGCGGGTGAATTTTTTCCAGAACTTCAGTCATCGACCAACCTTTCTACTGAGAACTTCACTCATCAACCAACTTTTCTACCGAGAACTTCACTCATCGACTAAGAACTTAACTCATCATGTCTGACATCGGTAATTCTTATACAAATTAAATATAATCTTTACTGTATCGATATAATTCAAAAAATTTTTATTAATTCAAAAAATTTTTTTTTATAAAATTTTAAAAAATTTATAAAAAAAATTTTTTTTAAACATCGAGTTATATACATATACTAATTAATTTTTGTACTTCAGAATGTATCAAACGCATACTACTATTATTAGATATTCATCCTAAAACAGATAAGAAATTTTCTGTGAGAGATTCTTGTTTTCCCGACGAATGAGGTATTTTTTGGATTTACTTACCAATAAAATAAAAAACGTAAAGAAAAATTATCATATGCTAGCGCTTTTAGAGACGACTACTCCTTCCCAACAAACAGCAATATTGAAACAAGCTACTCCAAATCAGTTTAAAGTGTTGTGTGAAATATGTGATAATTTGCGGAGAGGAAATATACCCACCAATATTCGTAAATTACGAAAATATAAAAAAATATCAGGAAATTAAGCGAAAAAAGCGTTCCTTTAAATACCAAAAAAAATTTTGGTTAATCAATCTGGTGGATTCCTTCCTCTTCTACTGGTGCCGTTATTGTCTATGGCAGGAGGGTTAATTAGTAAAGTAATAAGAAAAAGAATCTAATGGCGAAGCAGATGGCTTTAGTTCCTCCTGAATTACTGATGAGTTATCAAAAGCCTGAAATAAGAATTGGTTCTAATATCGAAGAATTACTCGAGAGTACAAATTAACCTGACAATGGTAAAGTCAAGTTATTAAGTCAATTAATTTCGAGATATCAGAGAACCGTTCATCCTCCTAAAGAACCTGTCAGATTATCGGTCGTATCTAACTAAAATGAAGAAACAAAAACTCAACCGAAAGAAAAAACTGATGATGATGATGATGATGACTGATTTATGAAACAAATAATTTTATCGGTACCTCAATTACATCAAAAATATATACCTCATTTAACTGCTAAGTTGGATCGAAGTCATTACGGATGGAATTCTAAAGGTAAATTAACAATCTATGGAAAACCTGTTATTGGGAGTCATATAGTAGACTTAGTTTTGTATGTAATTTGAAATAGAAAGACTGCATTACCCCCCATTGGTTTTAAAGACTTTTTTGATGGCTCAAAGAAAATAAATATTTCTAAAGTGTGGATTGGAAACAAAAGTTTGGCGACATCACTGGAAAAAATATTCCATCAACCAAGATCAGTCTAAACTACTGAAGAAATTATGTCTCCATCACTATTTCATCAGTGGAAAAAATATAAGAGGAAGAGGAAGAAAAATCTCGAATGGAAAATCTTTTGAATTCGATATACTATAATCCTAAATCTCCAGGCACTTTTGGTGGTGCGAGTAAATTAGTTAAAAAATCAAATTTGCCGCGATATGTTGTTAAAAAATGGTTGTCTTCTCAAGTAACTTATACACTTTATAAACCTGTAAGAAGTTAATATTCGCAATGCAAAAACTAAAAGTTTTTATCCTAACGACTTATGGCAGGCTGATTTAGTTGTATTAAAACAATTTTCTAGATTTAATAATGGAATAAACTATTTACTAACTGTAATCGATGTATCTACTAAGTATTGTTATGTCGTACCGATAAAAGATAAAAAACCCCAATCGGTTTTTAAAGCTTTTCAAACGATTTTTAAAAAAAGAAACATTCCGAAAAATTTACAAACTGATAAGGGGAAAGAATTTTATAATAAATTAGTAAAAAATCTTTTTAAAAAATTTAAAATTAATCATTATTCGACTCATTCCGATACAAAAGCTGCTGTTGTTGAAAGATTAAATAAAACTTTGCGAAATAAAATATATAGATTATTTACTTATCGTAATTCTTATAAATATATCGATAAATTATCGGATATTGTGAAAAGTTATAATAATAGTTTTCATAGAAGTATCGGTATGTCGCCGTCAGAAGTTACACCTTTGCATCACAGCTCTATTTTCGAAAAGTTGTACGGTATAAAAGGACAGAACACGTTTAAATTTAATATTGGCGACCTCGTTCGAATTTCGAAAATACGTAAAACATTTAGTCGAGGACACCTACCTGGTTGGTCAGAAGAAATATTTATTATTAACGATCGTTTTTCGTCTTATCCTCCGACGTATATATTGAAAGATTTAAATAATGAGATTTTGAAAGAAAGATTTTATACAGAAGAATTACAGAAGGTAACAAAATGATGCAGTCAGACTTTTTCGTCACTCTGATCAGCAACGCCAGCATGGCGTTATTTCCCGAAAATAAGCAGTCTCATTTCACTGTGAAAATGAGTCCACCTATTGATTTACGAGGGAAATGGGTAGTTGGTCTGAGTGAGGTTATTATTCCTAGAAATTGGTTTAACATATTAAATCACAATAACGATTATACTATTACTAGATAAAATTAGAAGAGAAAAAATAAGCGATGAAACATATGTGATTCCATTAACTACAGGCGATGAAAATGAAGGAGAGATGCTTTTCAATTGGATAAACAAGAATATAGTTTTGTTAACAGGATCTAACTCGGTAGAATTTGTTTTAGACAAGGATTATAAAGGTATAAAAATAAATTTGAAAGAGAGATTTGAGTTACATATTTTGTATGGAAGTGCTCATAAACTACTTTATTTTTTAAATTTAGGGGCAAAAATATTACTTTTAAACAACAGAGTTCGAGTTTAA